CAGTGCCGGTTTACCCTCCTTACTTAGTGAAGCGATAACAGGCGTGGATGCCAACTCGGTATCTTCCGTATCGACTGTCGAGTCATATTTAGACCAATCGTTCTTGTCCGAGACTTCCTTCTGTAATGGAGGTCATGGATACTTAAGGTGCCCAGTCATGCTTCCAAGATGGAAAACTACCTTTTTCGATTGAAATCTTGTGTATCGGCTGAAATTCGTGATGTGACAGACACCCACTAGGGGTTGTCGCTTGAATGCCCTTGTGTCATACAAATTGATAACCAGCGGTGGGCTGAACTCGAGATCTGACGGCAGCGAAACCTTAAATGCATAGATTACCAAATCTTGAGACGGCTAATGGGTTGTACCCACTCCATTTCGGTCCTCTGTGAGCGAACATAGTTACAGTTGATATGACTGGAACAAGTGAACAGAATAAACCTTTCTCAATCCATGGAAATACTTTTTTCCTATCTTCCAGCCCTGATTTTGCTCTAAGCGTTTTCCGGGTAGGTGGTTCCCACTTTGGCGCCCGCCCCGCCTATCGCCCTTATCTCCATTCTTGACAATCTGCACAGTGAGCATAATTGAGCATGCCCAGGTCTGCATCACACACATTCCCAGCCTAAAAAAGCCCTTAGTGTAAATCTCCAGGTGTTGCTCAATTGCCCAGCCCTGACAGGTCCTTTGCTGATTCGGGTCAGGGTGGGATGTAGTCGCAGGTCCATCCAGCATAGTTCTAAACACCGATAAGAAGTAACCACATGCACATCACTTCTAGTTTTTTAAATATTTCTTCAACAGTCCTTGTAAGCCTGTAAGTGGGAAATGACCTGGCGGTCAATTACCCACACATATCCTTTTTTCACAGATCAAGCTTCAATGTAATGACTTACCATGGGGAACGTGATAAGCGGAGTTTCAAAGTTCGGATCTTTGGCGACGTTCGGGAGGGGGTCAGTACGAGTGTCCATGTCACCAATAATAAGTTCCAGGAATGGTTTTCGGACAGAAAGGAACTGAAATTAGTCAATAACAAAAAAGGTCATAGACAATAAAAATATTTCTGAAAAGTCCTCCCTTATAAGGGTATTCCATTGGGAGATGAAGAATGTGGGTAGGTGGTTAACTACGGACTGGAGAACTGAGAACTGTGCTGAATAAGGCAAGAATCCTCTGCTTCCCAGATAGGTCTCGCACTACTTAGTCGAAAGCGAAGAGATGGAGGGCATAGGAGTTGCTCGATTTACATTCAAAATGTACATTACCGTATCTTTCCCGACCTGACAACATGTATTCCTCGAAACAAACTAACCTGATACTTTTTTAGATTTCTAACACCCCAACAAAGGACTTGAATAGCGAAATTTTGGAATTTCGGTCTCAGTTCACCAGGTACTTCGAATCGATCACTGAACAACATCACAGTTTCGTCAAGGATGCCTTCCCACATATAATCCTCAAGAGCATCTTACTCCACAGATTTCCTTGTCGGCAGCAAAGGAAGGGAGTTTTTCGTGGATTCGTCTTGACAGAAAAGTTCAAAGCACGCGAGCACTGCTCCTCTGAAACAGAAATTTGCAAATTACAGTATGAACGATTCGTTTGAATCGCTAGTTGACTGCTTTTTTATCTTTCCCACCGAGACCATACTGAACTACTTGGGTGGAAGAACTTTGACTCTTATCGTACTTCTTATTTAGTTCTTTTCAGTCCTGTAGTGGGTAGACTTGAATGACACAAATAAAACCCTAGTTTCTACGAAGATTCCACGATTAGTTCCCACGATTTTTCATGCATTACCTTTTCATTTGCTTCTAATGGAGGCCCATCACCCGAATTCCCACGATAGACGGCGAAGGGCAGTTACCTAATCTACCACTGCAAATTCGAGTCTACCCCTTCATATCGCACAATCGGGTGCGACGAGTATAGCACGCCCTTCGGGCATATAAACCGCCACCCCTTCACTCTCATGCAAAATATGCTGGCGTAATGGTTTTCTTACCAAATGCCCTCTGCAAGCGGTTTGTACTACTGTGATCTTCTACCGCAAACTCACAGTACTCCCATTTAAAACTTGCGAATGCGTGCGATCGGATGCGGTTAGCGCGGCTTGCCAGGTAGAGGAATCCCTCACCCACTTCCCCATTAAAGCCTAGTACGTATGTTGAAATGAAGTCAAACCTGGATTTCCCGAGCTGGAACGTGAGGGTATTCCATTTTGGTTTCGCCCGTGAATCAGTCGACGTACAGATCACCGTGGGATTCACTTCGAAGCGCCCGAGAAAAATCTGCAAAGCTAAGCTTTTTGTCTGTTCTGAGACTATGACATAGCTGATAGAACCTCGCTGCC